TACTCTTTGAGTGTACTTTTGTTGTGTGATAATCTACAAACTTTCCAAAAAGCATTAGAATTCTACGGCAAGGTAAGCATATTTCATTTTCTATTAACCTCAAAAAACAAGTAATCCTTGTTTTTCTGACTACTCGACAATCTTTTGTCGACAAATTGTATTAACTACAAATTTTCTGGAAGTGTTATGCGGGTGGCTGAGTGACTGTACACCTTGTCTCAAGCGATTTGCAGGAAATAGCAATTAGATTTTGTCTCCTGTGTGATTTGCCGACTACAAAAAACAGAGCAATCACGCAAAACAAGCTATGATTTTTTGTAATTACTTAGAATTATAAAACACTTTCCAAAGAACAGCCAAGATGATGTGAGCAGTATGAAGCTTGACTTTGAAGTTCCTTTTCATGAAAATATTCTGGTTTTTTCAACGGTTTACATTTGACGAAAGAAGGACGGTTTACGAATTCCTGTAACGGAACATGCTGCTGTAAATTTAGTTGGACTGAGAAAGAGGGGTGAAGATGTCAACTGCCAAGAACTTGGTGAATCAATTAGTTATAAATAAACGTATGTATATTCGTCTTTCACTTCTCAGAATGTAGTGGAGTTCAGATAAAAATTGTCACTGAAAATGAGTTTCTAGTCTTTCTCATGTACCAAAATTTCTTCCAATAGTGAAGGATGTAAGATTGGCCCTCAGTACCCGTCTAGGAAAGAAGAAGTCGGACCTAGGCTTTTTGCAAACTAAAATTCCTAAAATGATATAGAATTGAACCTCAAGCTTGGGTATATGCAGCTACACATGTGGATTGAAACTTTTTTCCACAAATTTTTGCAGTAGAAGGTCGGAAGTGGAGAGGTATAAAAGATTCATCACATGGAGTAGCTTACATCGTCAACGGCCAAAATTCATAGGATTCTCTTCGAAAATTTCGCAACCCTCCATATTTCCCAGATTCTCTATGAAAATGATTTTTCCAACATTTCATGAGTAAATTACAAGCTTAATTTTCACACCCTTGTAAATCATTTCTAAAAAAGTTACGATACGTAGCACAGGGCCATCGAGAAATAATTTACATTAGGAGATTCTCATAGTCTTGAATTCTTCATATCTTATCAACTCGCATATCGGCGAGGTGTTTACTTTTTTAGCCCGATTTTGATTTTTGCACCCACGGACTAGCAGCATCAGATCAGACAGGATTCATATGTATTTTTACAGGTTCTGAGAATATTTCTAAGCAAAATTATTTTTAGTGCTTGCTCGTCACCTCGCCTAACCAGACATGGAAGTGTCGTATCCATTGGCGAAACCCAGCCGGATGAAGCGACTTTACACCGTCTGAAGCTGCTCACAGCTCTCAAAAAAGAGGTATGTACGTCCTTGGAGCAACGAGTGGGAGCTCTAAGCCCTAATTCTGTTTTGTTTTAGGTCAAAGTGATTATGGAAGAGGCTGTGACGAAGCGGCAAATCGACATCAATTCACCCTATGTCACATCCTTATGCGGTATGTGCTATGTGCTTTAGCGAAGTTCGTGTTTTGGCCTTTCGTCGCATTAGAGCGCCGTTTTCGCGGAGGGCACTCATGGGTGTGGGCAATGTTATTTGCTTGAGTTAGCCAAAAGGGAGCCAAATAGAAAACATCGCAAAGTGATGTGACGTGCGTCAAAGAGAGGGGCCAAAGCTGGCGAAGCTGTGAAAAACAGC